GAACTTCATCTCAATAGCTGCTGGCATCTACAGCATTTAAATTCTTACTTCATGCTTGTTGTTTGGGCTATTTGCAGAACAGAATTATTCATCAAAGATCATTTCTCCTACCTGCTTAGACAATTGTTCTTCACAGAGTTTATACAAAGTGAAGAACTTCCTTGCAAGCACAATGTTATCAATGAAGCCACAACTAGCCAATTTGACACGGATGATGATCTGGCGATCAGGAACCATCATTGCCACTGAGCGGAAGTTGATTTTCAGGTTTTCGGGCAACTCTTGACGACCAGCATACCCAGGATTCTGATTTAAACATAGCATTAAACATAGAATTATTAACATAGAATTAGACTCCAGACATAATGTTCAGGATTTTACAGGTTCTACTTTGCATCTCCCGAATAGGTGCGAACCAGCTGAATCCCACCACTGGTGATCGGTCATAAGAGTGGAACAACTGCTGTGGTGCTAAAACATTAGTAACTTTGGGTCTGGATTATAAATACTTTTGAGGATGGTGTTCAGAACTTTGAATTGTCGCTAACTGAACCATCATAACTTAAGGATAACCTGTATTTTAGGTCAGAGCTGAAAGTTCTAGAAAAGTCTTAACTTTTCCCCTTATTTCATATGTGATGTTGGTAAACCACTGCATTTGGAGTACTCACCATTGTCAAAAAAAGGCCGAATTCAGGATTCATTTCTACATTATCGCCATCGGTGAAAATGAAGTTCTTCTTGCGCTCTTTCTTACAAGTCAAAACAATCGCGATTTGCTGGGCTGCCACAGACAGCACTGGCAAATCAATGCGGTTAAATTCATCAAAGCAGCCCCAGGATCCAGACTGAGCAAGCCCTTAAATCAGAGGAAAGGTTAATATTAAAAGGAGTCAGCCCTGCGCTCCTTTTGCATAATTAGATATCAAATCACAGTGTTTGGTAAAGTAAAGAAAAAAAAAAGTTAAAGCAAGTTCAGAGAAGGCTAGAGCTGAATTTATGATATTTAAAATGTGCTTACTTCTATCAGATAAAAGGATTAAAATCAAGGTGCCAGAAAGGAGCAAATGACTTATCATTCTGGGCAAGCTGTTGAACTAGATAACATTTTTCCCCTTTTCCCTTTAGAGTCTTGTATTTTTTTTTAACTTTGCTTTTAGCCATTCCTGTGCTTTATTACTTAGTACAAACCTCTTATATAAGATGATTACCTGCGATTAATCTGAAATGGATGCAATTAAGCACAATAGACATACTTGGTAATGGTTCGCCGACAAATGCGTGCTCGACAAAAGCGCGACCGACAAAACCGCGGTGAGAAATCCGTGAGTTCTAAATTGCGCCGACGAATGAGCGCAGAAGCGCGCCGGCAACAGCGCGCCGACAAAAGCGCGCCTTNAGATCCGTCCTTCCATCCTGTTTTCCTTCCTCCCCAGACTTTCTCGTGGTGAGTTAAATGTAAGCATCTTGTTTAGTCTGTACCCCTTCACCCAGCAAGCCGGGGGGGGGGGGGGGGAGAGAGCTCCTCCTGCTTTCCTCACCCCACCCCACCCCCTCTTCTGGACTGACCCCTCCTTTTCGTCCTCCAAAGGCGAAGTCAGTTTCCCCAGCCCTCTTTTAAGTCAGCCAGTGATTGTAAGGCAACACGATCCCTTCATCCGAGAGGAAGGCTGGATGCCGGTTAGTTGACACACCGGGTGAGTTGTCGTCTTCTCCTCGCAGCAGGATCTCCCTCCCCCCCCTCCTCCCCCTAAGGTGAGACCCATCCGACCTTGCACAGGGGGGAGAATTTTGTTAGCCAAATGGGGAAGGGTCTCCGCTCTGGCCAGAGATGCCCACCACCGATCGCTCGCTTGCTCCCTTGGCGAACGGGGTTGGGGGAGGAAGACGTACGGTTGCTGGGGAAAGAGAGGAAGGCGATCTGGCAAAAATTGTGAGTGTTGTGGTTTTGTGCCTCGCTCCCACTCCAGGAGGGGAATTCGTGGCAATTGTACTTTTTTTGTGGTGGAGAATTGAAGAAGAGAAGTCAAAACAGATGGAGAAAAGGGAATTACGAGTTACGGGCTAAACCAGGGGTGTCCGAACTTGGCAACTTGTGGACCTTCCAACTGTTGAAGTCCAAACTGGTGGACTTCAACTCCCAGCTATGCTGGCTGGGGAATTCTGGGAGTTGAAGTCCAGAAGTCTTAAAAGTGGTCGAGGTTGCAACCCGCTGAGCCTAAGCTTTCTCTCGTTTCTGTGGTCAAATGTCCTTGCTATCCTCCTGCGGTCTCCTTCTGTCCAGCCTCAAAGGGGTGGACAGTTGAGGAGAAGAGTTGGGGGCAGAGATGGGACTTTGCTGACCTTTAATAAAGCGATGGCCCCTTCCCCTTATAGGGCCAGGAGTCATCCCAGAGCCACGGGGTCCTTATGGAGTATTTAGCTGAGACCGAGGAGGGAGAATGTAAGTAAAAGTTAGCAATAGCAATAGCAGTAGACTTATATACCGCTTCATAGGGCTTTCAGCCCTCTCTAAGCGGTTTACAGAGAGTCAGCATATTGCCCCC